TTATCGTCAGTACGTTGAAACGAATTAATGATAAATTAAGAATAAATTCATAGAGATTTATTTATCATTTATTTATTAACGACAGTATAAGTATAGCGAAAATAAAGCAGTATTTTTAAAAATTTTTTTACCTTTAAATATAATCCGTCTTTTTAAATATTTTTCGATCTATGATGCAGTTTTTTAATATTATTTTATTATTTTCAATATAAATCCCTAATAAAATAATAATTCTTATGATCTAGTGGATACGTCTAAAAAAAAGTTAGCGCTCTTGTACGATGTACACGTCAACCTGTTCAAAAACTCTTTCTAATTACTTTTATATCTATGCATATTTTATAAGACTTATGTATTTTGTGACCGTTGCAGCCTTTTTCGTAATGAATTTCTAAATTACTTACAATGATTAATCATGATTAACTTATGAAAAGATCGAAAATTAATGATCAATGCCTAGTTATATTTAACGATTATTTATAAAATAATACACTCATTAAACTTTACTTAATATATATATTTTTCAAGCATTATTTATAAATTTTGGTTTATTTTCATATTTTTTAATAGTGTTTGTAAAAAATGATAAATGATAAATGTATTTATACTAATGGAGAAAATACATTCTTCAACGTTGACACTTATTTGCATTTAAACAAGCATTATATAAAATTTTATTTTTCTATAAAGATAATAATCTTTTAATATATAACAATCTAGCAATAATTTGTATGTTAAGTAGATTTAAAAATATCTATTATCAATCTAATCGATATCTAACGAGCTAATAATTTTTTGTATTTAAATAAGACTTAACTGAGTGTCATCAATCACATCATCCACGAAATTTAATAAACTTATTTCTATAACAAAATTCGAAACTATTCTAATGAACATATTCTAAAATAAAATGCATCGATTTAAAAAATGAATTGCATTTTATGAAAGATTATGATTTTCATTTCTAGAAATGAACTTAGCGATGATCAATATTAAAGTAATGCAGTATAATAAATTTATGAAAATAATTAATCACATAATAATACTATATTATGTATAATAGAAAATTATAGTCTAAGAGCCATGATTTAACTTACAATTTAATCCAATACTAATGAACATATTTTGTAAATAAAAGTATATTTTAATAAAATATGTAGCAATTAAAAGATATCAAATTTGAGTTTGTACCAAAATGTTTTATCACTACCAACCTATTTTAAAAATATATCAATTTTTATGAATATTTTTAATATTATTTTAAATAAATGTCAAATTAAGAATGTACTATTACTTAATTATTGAACACTACATTCATATTAATTTAACCGGAGAGGGAAATATTACAAAATATTGTAACTTCAACATAGTATTATCTTAAAATATTTTATAAAAAAAAAAAATAAAAAAAATACATATATACCTTTACCTAATACGATATCAGTTAACACGAGTTACTATTAATAATAATAATACTACTACATTTAACTACTTTTATTATATAATTAGATTAAAAATTATTTTTAAATTTTCCGATACATTGGATAACTAAATTTCAAGTCTAAATTCATGTATTTAACGAATTTTACAGACAATGAGTCATATTATTTTACTATAATGTTTTAGAGTTTTTTTTTTCAAAATACATAAGTTATAATATAAATTTTCATCACTTAACTTATCACTAATAAATCATGGTAATAATATTATTAATGTTCCCAATGCCAATACGTAACGATAAACTCAGATACATTTAAACTAATAATCAGATAAAATAATAATTCACGCCATTAATATTTTATTGTATAATACCGAATAATGAAACATTATATAATTTCATTAAATTGATAAAAATATATTCTTACAAATTAATTTCAATGAAACATTAAAAAATACCATGGATTTTAAATAAATTGTTTCTAAGAAATTGGTTCTAAGAAATTTTTCCAAAAGTAAAGCTTGACAATTTCGTACAATTTTTTAATATTTTGTAACGAAAATGCCTTAAGAGAATATAGTTACATCGATAATAATTTACTTTTGATTTTAAAATGAGGTGGAAACATAAATAAAATAACTTATGATAACTTAAACAATAAAAACGATTATAAATATTCAATAAAATATGATATATTTATGTTTTTAATTTAATTTAATCTTGTCGTAAGATTAATGTTTATTTTAATTTTAGTCAATCAAATAAAGTCCTTTTATTTTTGTCATTAAAATATAAGTAAATTTATCTCAATTTAAAATCTTAAGATTATTACTCCATGAAAAATTAAATATTAAATTTTCTATAAATTATGTATTTTGCAATTCTATTAGTATATAAAATAATATCTGGATAATTGTTATAATATTTACAAAAAAAATTAACATTTTTGCTTAAATTTTTTTCATATAAATTCGATATATATGTATAAATTTATGAAATTTATTCAATTAAATTATAAAATAAATAATTCTGAGCAATGGAAATTAATTTCCAAAGACGAATACTAATTGTAAATGTATAAAAATTGTAGAAAATCTAAAGCCGTTAAATGAAATGAATAATGTATTGCATAAAAAATGTGCTTAAAACTTTCCCAATTTTTATCAATAGACATGGGATTATCGTTTATAATTTTTGAATATTTTATAAATAGATTTTTATAAATTATTATAATCAAACATTATATTACAAAAATAAAAATTGATTAATGTATAATAATTTAGTATTTGTTTATTTAATAAATTTCTATTCCTAAATTTTTCCTTTCTCAACCTGCCTAATTTATTTACAATAATTTACAAGTATTTTGAAAAATGGCCTTTTAATTTAATAGATAAATTGTGAATAGAGAATTCGATTAAATACCGAGACAGTCTGCATCGCCTGATTAAACTTATTTCTTTCTTTTTTTATATTCCATAAGTTAAAAAGTCATTCCTATGCCCAATATAAATAAATATTGTTGTCTAATTAATACGGTTAGACATTATTAACATGCAGAAAAATTTAGAAAATAATTGTTCGATATGTAATATGCTAATTAAATTATAAATAATTTTCAATGCAAATTATCAAAATCGTAAAAAGAAAAAAAAGTCGATGTAAAACATATAATAAAGTAATGTTTCATTTTTCTACAAGCGTTTAAGAAATTTTCAAATATATATTTACGTATCAACATGAATATTTTATTAAAAAAGTATGTTCTTGTATTGTCTAGTATATGTTTGCAAATATAACAAATAAAAAGAGGATAAAGGTATAAATAAAATGCAGTGAGTTAGAAATTAGTACTTTATTGTATTATTTATTACAAATTACACACACACACATATATATATATATATATATATATATACGTGTATCAAAATTTAAATTACGAATTAACAAATCGGAAAAATCATAAATAAAACTGTAAGGATGATGGTGTCGACATTGCCGATTAGATAAAAATGACTGTAAAAACTGTATACACGAGTAGGTCAATAGCTTACAGGTGTACATGTACGCGATCATGTATGCTTTACGCTATTTTTAGTTAAAAAATAAAAAATAAAAAAAAAAAAGGGAAAATGTACATAAAAAGTACTTGTATGCAGAGTATAAAAAAAATAAAAACATGAAAGGGAAACAAAGGCTTCTTAAATGGGCCACTGTGATATTTTTTCCATCGTTTTAGTGTAAGTTTTCTATTTATTTTGTTCATTTTACTCAAGCGAAATTATATTTTTACTATAGAGATTGCATAGGCAATCAGTAACTTGCAATGGAAATAATAATTATGAAATTACTTGGATAATAAAAATTTTAAATGCTTATTTTATAAAATTATTTTATTTACAATTAAAGACCCATTCGTCTCTGTTTAGCTATTATAATTGGCTTTTTGATAATAAGGTCAATATTTTTTATCAAATGTTTAAATTTCTAGAAATAAATTCTTAGAAATGAACTATTCGTTCGAATAAACATACATGCATTAAGATATTCGATATATGCAAGTACTTAAATGTGGGGAAAAAAAAAGCAGGAAAATAAATTATAAGAAAAAAACGTCATAAGCAAATACTGATGAAAAAATTAGAGAAAAAAAACTGTAATAGGCTAAGTTAAATGCACGTGTAAAATGGTAGTTAAAAAAGAGAAAAATCAATAAGAAAACAATAAGCAAATTCATAAATTGTCAAATTATATGAAAAATTAAAATTATAAACATAAGGCGTATTATGTACGAACTTGAAAGTATATCCTATTAAGTTTATGTTGTCGTAATGTTCATGTGAACAATAATAGGTTAGGTTTTTCAATATCGTTAATAAATGTAATTCGATCTGTGTTTATCCATAATAATAACATAAGAAAGAAATTATCTCAAACTAAATATTCCCGTAAAAATAAATACATAGATAAAGCGGTAATTTCAAGTGAGCTTGAACGAATGAACAAGGTAATAGAAAGATATTTAAGAGAAAGTCCTACGTCTGTAGATATTGCAATCGTCTCAAAAATCATATTATCCATTTATTTTATATGAATAATTATAATACGCGTGTGCCTTCGCATAACCCGTGTATCATTTACACTATCGGTTATACTTGAATATTTACACGTCCTGTGCTGACAACGTTCTTCCGCTCCATTTCACAACCCACATTTAACAAACGAATTTAACAGAAATTGCAAAAGCAATTAAACACCCGTCCACCCGCCAAACGCCTATGAAAGCTCGAATGCAAGCATTTAAAAAAGTTCCACCTACACATTGTATGCAGATGCACCAAACTTTTGGTAACGACACGCCTCTCTCTTGCCTCCGCCACTCAATGCGCGCGCATACTCGCCGTCTCTCTTTAATGCGCACGTCATACCGATTGTTTCTTTGGTCCCAAGACGTACCGACGTTTCGAAGAAAAAAAAAACTCTCTCTCTCTCTCTCTCTCTCTCTGTGTCCCCCCGCCCCTCTCTCGGCCTTTCCTTTATTTCCAAATTTCTTTCACTTCCACACTTCCAGCCATTTGATTAACAGACAAGATGCAACTGTGGCTTTTATCTGTACTGGGAGTGTCAATTCTTTCCACCAGTGAGGACTTATAATAATCGTTCTTTACCACCCTTCCTACCACACTAAAATGTAATCGTTAATAATTTATTTATTGATGTTCGTAACGTGAAACTTATTGCTGTGTTCCAGGCAACGCCCTAGAGTGCTATGTTTGTAAAAATCAAGAGGGCAATATTGAAAAATGTCTAAACACAATTAAAACCTGCGAGCAAGGAGAGGACACTTGTCTGTCAGAAATCAAATGGGGCAGTGAGTTCGATTATTTAAATTTATATCGTTAATTTTTGAGAGAGTAAGGTTAGGTTTCCCAATTGACATTGAGGTTCATGCTGCTCGAATGAATTTGTGATAATTTATAGTTCATCAATTTGTTATTGAATGAATGAACGAATGATTAATGAACGTTAAAAATTGCGTGATTTCTTTTAAATAAGAATCCAAAAATTCTGAATAATCACTGAAAGTATAAATAATACCTGTTGAGTATAATATAATTTATATTATTTTTAATCGTAATGTAAATTCAAACGATAGGTTTAAAAATGAATGAAGACTTTTGTTTTCGTTAGTCAAGTAGCATTAACATTAACATCGGAGCAATGAATGTCAAGAAAATTCAGATGTAAAAATTGATTGATATAATGTAAGGTTAGGATATAAATATAAGTATTAATAATAAACTACGTACAATAATTATATTGTGATAAATAATAATATGTTACAATGTATGTATGGTACGTGCGATAGGATAAAAACAGTGTTGTATACTAGGTAACTAGCATGCATTTAGTGGTTTTAAATCATTTTTACAATTTATACCGTGGATGCTATAATATTTCTGTAGTACCATTTCATTCCTTCTATTTATTTATTCTTTTTTATTGTAACTATTTTTCATTATCCAAATTTGATTATTCTTACCAAATAGACAATATTACAGATATTTGTAAATAATATATTTGCAAATAACATATTTTATTTCATATATTTTTTTTCTTTCCTTATATAAAACGTTTATCCTTATATTAATTTTTATAATTTCAATTTGATGAAAAAATTAATTTATAAATATTCATAAATTGTATCGATGGAGTGTAATATAATTTAAATTTCTTTCTCTTTTGACATTCATACGTCATTCATAACATTCATAAAGTCCAATGATTGCGTACAACGTTTACATATATGATATCAGAGATACGACAATGATAGAAAAATATTATCTCCCTATACATAGAATAATTGGTTTTTAAATATTAACACTTTATTGAAGTTTTCTAATTTATTTAATTTTCACTTTCTATAATATTCAATAATAAATAAATCTTTTTTTTTTTTTTTAATATATTGTATTCTGTTTTGCAGGTACACCATATTGGAATCAAGGTGCTAAAAAGCAATTTTATATCTCGAAAAGATGTTCGACTAAAAGAGAATGCGAAAGAATCCGACGTACTAATATGCCAGATTGTTCGCACATTTGGTATCAAGATTGGCAATGCTCCGAATGTTGCCAAGGAGATAGATGCAATTACTATATTATTGTAAATATGCTATAATTTAATAACAAATAAGAATAATAAGCAAAATAGAACTGTATAATTATGAATTTATTAAATACTAATTTTTGTTATTATTGTTGCAGTCTGGGACTAGTAAGGTTGAAACAACTATGATGTCACTATTATTACCGTTATATACAATATGGAGAATACAACGATAAATTTTTAAAGCTTAACTTTACCAAAGTAAATTCAAAATTTACTTTTATTATTTTTTAGCTTACCGTACAATCACAATTTTCATAATGTAAATCTAATTAATTCAAACATTTTCTTTAAACCAGACTTTTTTCGTACATTATAACTGAAGAAATTAATTTTTTAATTCAGTCCATATTTTCCACTCTAATTTTTTAAAAACTTTTTTTACTGTAAGTAAACTATTTTAATGTACTAATAGTATATTTATATGTTAATTCGTTATATAACGAACAAATTTGTAACTATGTCCGTCCAATTTCTTAAATTAAGAAAAACAATGTGCAAGGTAGTTTCTTCATTTTAAATATGTGTTTGATTAAGCAGATGTTTTCCACAGAAAATGAAGAAATGGCAATTAATTTAATCTAATGTAAGAAATGAGTATTTATCAGAATCCGTCCAATTATATTTAAATGTAAAAGTTTTATAGTATGCATATTAAAATAACTGAAAATATATAGAAAAGATCGTGTACGTATTTTTACAATAAAAAATTGTAAACTCAATTTATCATTTTTTTTTTTTTTTTTTTTTTTTACTTATAATTATTATCCTAATGTTTATACTTTGTTTCAAATGCTTATATAAGAAATACGTAATAAAATATAACGAACGAACAAATGAAGGAAAATTTTTTTACCCCTTTCGATTATATAAAGCAATGGGTGAAAGCTTGGGCTTATAAAATCAATTACGAGACAAATTAATGGATAATCGTGATTGGGGAATGAATTATGTAGTATCAATTTAGCGAATGGGTAGGTAGGATAAATGTATCTTTTCCGCATATCGATTGAGTCTACGAAACACAATGTATTTATTAATATAATTGAAAATGTTTCAATTACAATCAGCCAATACATAAATATGAAGAATAATATTCTAAAGAAAAATATATATACAATTTTAATCTGAATTTTTATGGTAATTTTTGTTCATAAATTTCTGCAATTAATTTTACAATATATATATATATATATATATATATATATATATAACACTGCGATTAACTTAGCAGATTAATTAGCAGATCAACTACTGTAAATATTTTTTACGCTATTTGGATTAAGTCATGCGTAGAGTGCGCGAAGCATCAATAAATTTTTCTTTATCATTCGTCGTTTAGCTTGATAAGTGTGAACTTCTTTTCAGCTTTGCATATTTTCTAAACAACGGAATGATTCTTATATTATTTATTAAGGATCGATTGGATTAATGGGTGAGTTGGTATGCTACATTTTTTAAAAATATTTTACACAATTGAATAAGAAAATTAAGAAATTAAAATTTTTTTATTATCTAATGTTCTCTGAAATTCTTGAATATATAATGATAATTAGGTGTATATTATAGTAAAGTAATTTCTTATATTTTCAGATTAAGTATCGATTTTAATAATTTATTTTAAAAATTTCCTAAAGAAGGTTCTTTTTCATTATTAATATAAAACATATTTTAATAAAAATTGATTAATTATATTGCGAGAATAAACATAATTAATGTATATATGTATATTAAATTATGATTTCAATACTTTACAAAATAATAATTTTTTACATTAAATTATTTTAATCGAGAAATGCATATTAATACGTCGGTAGAAGTTCGTAAAAATAACGACATCCATTTTGATTATTATAAATAAATATGTCATTAAGAGTTATTATATTTAAACAAAAAAAAATATTTGAGTTTGTTTGAAAATATATTTTCCTTGTTAAAAATACCTTGTTAAATGTGTAATATGTTTTTTTTTTTTAATAAAAATTAATTAGGGTCAAAACATTAGACAAATTGAAATAAATATATAATTGTAGTTAACTCGAATAGCGTTACAAAGGAATATTATAAAATTAATTAAAAAAAGGAACGCAATTCGTAATCTCGCAGTTTGCAAAGGCTAATACAATGGAACGATTCGTTATAGATAACATATTATGACCGTTTTATAACTTTCTCAACTGTCATTTAAATTACTCTTTATATTATCTCACTTTATCTATTATATTAACATTATATAAAAAAAAATATATTAAATGTTCATTTTCAATGTTATAATAAACAAAAAGACTATGTAAAATAAATTAAAACCCTCGTTATACTGTGGATAAATTATTTTCACTATGATTGAACAAATGCAAACAATTAAGATATAAAAGCAAAAAGAGAAATTTTTTTTTTTAAAGTGATTGTTTACTCTTAACTAATTTACGTTTAAATTCATTTTACTTGATATTTAATTCGTATACATAGATAAAATATTTCAATTACTTGTTAACGCTATTAAATAAGGAAAAAAATAATGTTTATCAGCGTGACTGTAAGTAGAATTTTAATTAACGAATTCATTATATATGTGTGAACCATAATCCAATATTTATTATTTATAAAACAAAATTTATATATTTGTAAAATATCATTTATATTTCAATAAAATGTTTCGTAAATGCAAGCACCAATATATAATAAAAGTAAATAAACCTAATGTTAATGAGATCACAACATATATACAAAACATCAATAATTAATAATATTTTATATATTTATAAAATAAAAATTAATGTTATTCCTAGATTATATATTAAATAGTAAATAATTAAGAGCTTTGATAATAAATCATTAATAATTAATTTGTAATGTTTAAAATGAGTTTTTAAATTGGAAATCCGGAAAAACCATTGTAAAGTTTAGCAGATATACTTTTTATTAATAATAATTCAATTTATGCTCATTAAAGAATGCAGTTTTAATTTTCATTACAGATATGTAATTGTACTTTCCTTACAAATGACTTTATTAAAATTAAATAAAATAAAGTTAATAAAAAACTTTCATTTTGAGATAAATAGTGTATAGAACTAAATAATAATGAAAATTATTTCAAACATTAATCTTTATTGTATTCCATGTAATATACGACAATAAAAAATTTAAATCAATAGTTTATTGTTTATTATTAATATTGGCATTAAATTACATGTAATAAAATCGATGGTATAAAACTTCCATAAATTATATGTTTAAAAGTAAATTTATTATTTCAAAAATAGATAGTGAAAGTATTTTATACTTTTACATTTTAAAAGTTGTAATTTCTTGGAAAATGCGGCAGCTCTTAACAATATTTAGATAAATCTTCATTATCATCTAAAGAAAGAAACATAAGTATTTTTTTTTTTTTAATTTTGATCAATAAAAATTAAGAATTTTAATTGCTATCAATAGATAACCTTAATTGACATGTAATTTTAAAATCTCGAAATAAAAACATTATTTTACTTAAAAATTTATATCAAGATCAAAACCTTCGTTTAAAATAATATATTTATATACTTGGACAATAAAATCAGTTGTATGCGTAAGTGATAGTGCTTTATATCTACACGATAAAAATGTTAAGCTCTTTGGGTCTTAACAGTAAGTAGATCGTATATTTCTTTATAGTACGATCAATTTAAGCTTAAACAATTTGAAGATTATTGCTTTAGCTTTGTAGAAGTAGAAAACTAAATTGTATTTTAATTTTAACAACGAACAGAATGAAAGACTGTTATTCACCTAATAAAGTAACTGTTAACTTCATTAACAACTTGATTATAAATTTCTTTCACTTTCTTTCATTATTTATTCAATAAATAAAATACCCAATGTACTTTTATTAACAAAAATTAGAATGAAATTTATTCTTAAACATCGTAATAAAATTAAGCACTGCAAGTAAAATACAGCGATATGGGTAAACACGTGTTCATAGCTGAAGAAATTGAAAATTCAATAAATCGATCGATAATTCAATTGATTTAAACATTCGATTAAGATACATTTGTTTTCATTCAATATGGCAAATATATAGCTTAAATATTTTAATACAAATCCGTAATTAGATAATGAGCATCATAATTTCCACTGTTTGCCGCCACCATGTAATTGAAATATTATTAATTGTATATAAGAGTGAGTGAAAACGTTATTAACAGTGACGTCATCAATACAATACACATTTTTCTTATTGTATTACGTGATACTTAATATTTTTTCAAATATTGACACAGTTTTGTTATATTCAATTGAAAAATTATACAGAGCATATAATCAAAAATTATTTTTCCAATGAAATAATTAGTATTAAACTATGCTGAAGCTAATTAAAACGAAGATAATAAATTTAAAATAATTTGTAAATATTAATTTAATAAAAAAGAAAACTGAAAATTTATATTTAATTTTGTAATGCTATTATAAATAGATGAAATAAAATATTTAAATTCTTAAATTTAAATTAAAAATATTTTATTACATAATACTACCACTTAATTTTTATATAACATTTCTATTCAATACATTTATTGTCTCGTATTACATAAACTATTTGTATATTTTAAAACTTATACAATGATGATAAATAACGTATCTAATAATTGAAAAAATATTCGAATTATGTGACATAATCACTTATTTTATATTGCCAATTATAAGTGTTTTTAAGTATACAAAGTACAACTTATATTTAACTAATTTTAATTATTAATTAAATTTATAAAACAAAACAAAAAAAAATTAATAATCATTACTAAACAATTATATAATACTCAATATGATATAAACTTCAAATAAAAGCTATTTGAGAATTTAGTATAAAAAGAAAATATGTTGATATTTTATCAAAAAATTGGAATTCCTGATTTAATTGCTGACAATAATGATTAAACTATTTAAATTTTCCTTAAATCTATATTTATGTGTTTGAAAATTTAGAAATTATGTATTAATTATCGATATGCTAACAAAATAGGATATACTTTAATATAATAATTATTATATTTCATGCATATCAATTTACTGTAAGTATTATAAATATTATAAATATTTTCAATATTTTAATTATTTAAAATATACTCACTCTAAATAATAAATAATAACTTACTTTTACATTCTTCGTTTTTAACACAATAGTTTATCTCATATAGTGAAAGAAATTTAAAATTTTTTTTTTTAGATAAATTTAATTTTCAATTATTTAAATAAATATAAGATAATTAAAAACTACATATTTTCAAGCCAAATAAGTATCTTTTTAAAAGGTTTCAATTTACAGTTTACCAGTCAGTTAATAAACATTAACTCAAAATGTGCTTGTTTAATTATTTACATAATTAAGCGGAAATTTTTTTTTAAATGTAATTAACAATTCTTTATAATATCAAATTTTTATTTTATACCATAAATTATAACATAAACTAAAAATAATTTAATTTAGAGAATGTATCTATTATTTTGTATTTGAAATTGCATATTATTGGTTCATAAAATTAAAGTTATTTTTACTTTTAATCTGAAATATTTAAAAATGATTTGTATAAAGATAATTATTTTAGATTAAAATGTAAAAATGAAAACTGTACGCTACTTTAATTTATATCAGATTAGCGAATGAGACTATTCTACTAATATTCGCTACACGTCCTATTCACTATAACTGTAGAATATAAAATAAAGTTTTAATGGAAAAAAAAAATAAATAATAATAATAATAATAATAATAATAATGGTAACTAATAAACAAATCATGACTATAGAATAATTTTTTTAAAAATATATTATATACATACGATGTTTCAATGTCGTAAAAAATTAGTTATTTTATTTATTTTCTTTGTAAAAATGTTTTTCTTTGAAAAAGAAATTCCAAATCACATAAAACTTTTTATTATGCTTTATGTGTTAATAACGCATATTTTAACATATTTTATATTAATTTATTCATATTTCTTGATGTGTTTAAATTGAAATAGTCATAAAATTCTTGCACTATTTTACTTCATACTTTTATCACATTTTTCAATCGTAAATACTTGAATATAATAATAATTTAATTTTAAAGCACATTAGTTCCATTTTAATTAATTTTTAAATATTGTAGAATAACGTATATATAAAAATATTCGTTTCAAATTTATTATTTAGATAACATCTCTATAAAATAATATCTTTTCGAAGATATTAAATGTTGCAAATTTACATTCAAGTTTATCGTCGCAAATCTCATTGAATTTATTAATTTACTTAAATATTTAATTTACTAAAGATTTAGAAAAAAAAAAAATGATAAAAAAATATACTATCAAAAAGTGGATAAAAGTAATTTTGACTTTCTTTGTATATATTTCGAACAACATTAAGCTGTTAAAAAAATTAATGTCTTACGAATAAGTTATCTTTTGTTTAATTAAAATTTAACAACTACACTTATATAAAAATCCTAACAATATATGTCTAATAAGAATATATATTTCATTAAAATTAATAATAATGTCCATTAATTAAATAAATATTATTATCAAATAATAAAAATACTAGTAAATTAACTTTTATTGATAATTATATGTTGAATGAGCATAAAAAAAATAAGATAAAATAAATAATAATAAATAAAATCTAAAAATTTTCAGATGAGATTGATAAATCAATTATTTTCATCACTAAAACTTTTGTTTATGTTTTTTTTTTTTTTTTTTTTATAGTTTTACAAAGCATAATTATTTGTAATGACATTGAATATATGTTATCCATTCCTCTCTGTACGTAAGCATAATAATTTTTCATTGTGCAATATTATGAAGATAAGAGTAGTTTTACTGAACCCTTGATATTTACTTTTCTAAATCTGTTTATTATTATAATGATAAATAGTATAATTATTTCGCCACTATCAAATAATAAGTAATTAGCATCGTTTTTTTTTCTTTTTATTTTAAGTTAAATATTTACTTTTTTTATTATTATTTTTATTGTATCTTTGTTATATCGTGCAAACAAAATTAGAATACATTCATAATTGTTTGTTGCGGAAAGTGATACTTAGGAAGATAAAACAGGGAAATAAAATTTTTATAAGAGAATGAAGTGCTTGTGCGTTCAATGAAACGCATAGACGATTGATCGTGTCTTTCAATTCAAATTTTTGACAAGTTTGAGAACAAGAATATTAATATTAATCAAAGCTCTATGTAATTCATCAAATAATTAAAATATTGTTTGCCGTCACAATAAAATCGTCATTTTACATACGTATTTAATAAGTAATAATTGGGCATAAGTAATTTACCTATATTTTCTAGTCTTTGTAATTGACATCACTTTATTTATTAAAATATTTAAAGTAACTTAAGAACCAAAAGTATAAATCAAATTTTAATAATAATGTATTTGATTATTTGCACATTCTTATTTTATTTACATTTTTACAGATGAAGATTGTTATTTCAATTATGTAAATAGAAATTTAATATATTCAATGAGAATAATAATAATAATAATAATAATAATAATAATAATGTGTTAATAATATGTTAATAATATGTTATTTTGTATAAAATTCTCTATTAAAGAATAATAGATTGAAAGGCTATGGGTAATTATTAGTTAACTCACACTGTCCTTACAGAACTTGAAGCCTTCGTTAGATCAACGTATACGAGAACAATTACAATGTTATTGAAAATAAATTCGTAAAATAAACGCTTAGAAGGTTCAATTAAATTAAAAATTGTAATTAATATGAATGTACATGACTCATCTGACTTTTATTTTCATTTACATTAAAATTGTGCACGATTTAAACTTCAAATAATTCTATGAATTTTAAGTAGAGCGATATAATATGTTGCACCTTCGTATTTATGGAAATAATATCGTTGACTCGGTACTTCATAAAACTGCTCGTTACTCTCTTTACTTACAGCTAGCTGTAACGTTAAAGTATAAAACGCGGATCGACTATCGCCTCTGTCTCGCCCAACTGATCCTCCTCCTCCTCCTTCTCCATTCAAAATTCCATAAATCGATCATGTTTACCGATCGAGATTGTCCTATACCATTTAGTGATAAATACACGATGGTTAGGCGTCTCGTGACATCCACTCGTAATAACCGAAACTATTCGCGGACGATGAGGAATGCCCGAATCTTGAATATCGAATAAGGGTCGACTCACCGTCGAAACGACGATGGAAAATGATAACTCGATCAATTGACTAATTAAGCTAGGCGCCTCGTGGACGGTAAGACGAGTCGCGGCGAATACATCGCTCTTGGAGGCGCGTGCGCACCACGAGCTACGCCTGGGACTCGGTTCCTCGTGTCACTCGGTCGACTTGCCCGATCAGTCACCTAAAAGCGCGCTACCGGCCACGAGCCTCTAAATATTCACGGCCGTCGACGACTTTTTTTTCACATCTCCTTCTTCTTCTTCTTCTTCTTCTTCTTCTTCTTCTTCTTCATCATCATCCACGTCCTCTTCTTCTCCTTCTTCCTCCGCTTCTACATTTTCTTATATCGTCATCCCTGCACCGCAAGCAACCGGATCCCTCGATCACACCTCGACCAGGCGCCAAATTAATCATGGACTTGTCCTGGATTAAAATGATCACGGTAAGATTTTTATTCGGATGAGAGCTTCGTGACACATGCCAGTCGCCTCGGATTTGATTACCCAAGGCCTTTTGGAAAACTCGGGCTTTGATGACAATGATACGCCGAGGTATCGCATTTACTTTATCCACGGGTACTTTTATATGTAACTATTTGATTATGCGTTATTAAATTGCACGGCAATTGCCGAGCTGTCGAGAATAAGTTCGCCCAGACGGTTCTTAATCCTTGATTAACATCTTGAGTGGCATTATTGCTTCATCGGCTCATTATTCGTTCCTCTTCAAAGTGTGTATCAAATATTTTTGTGTCTCAGGCTAATGTGATTATTTAACGAATCGGCTGTATATTGTCGGTGAATATTAAGTCTCGCGCCCTTGTGAATCGGTGGGGGTGAACTTAACCGACATACGGAGCGGAGCACACGTGGTATTTTAAATTATTTTAAATTCAGAAATTTAACTCGGAATTTAAAAATATATCCAGTGTAATAATGTATTAGAATATTCATAAAGTCACTCGTAGGTGAGTATGCTTATCAATGTTGGGGATAAATATCATTACTTGCCAATTACTTTAGACAATTAAACGATAATTGTATTCCGTCGATCTAACAACTAATGGTATTAATACAAACGTTATTTCATACTATTTTCATACTCTAGCATAACAATAACAATAATAAACATAACAACAACGACGACGACGGCAGCAACAACAACAATAATGAAGCGTGCGTTAACGAAAAAAGTTGTCTATATCGAACGAATCTCCATCTAATCAATCTATAAATCTGATTTATTTTTTTTTTTTTTTTTTTTTTTTTTTTTTTTTTCATAAAATTGACTTATATTATATAATATATAAAATGCACGTTGGCATTTCAATAATTATTTTTAAACATTATAATTAAGAGATGAATTATTGCTAGCTTCGACTTCGTAATGGCCATTCGTCCAATTACTCATTTACGGACAATTAAATTTAAATTTACTAAGTAACATTCTTATCTGTTATAATTAATATTGGACTTGGTAAAAGATAAATTAAAAACGAAGAAAGAAAAAAACTTATTATTCATTTCATCATACGGATTTATTTATTATTTTTCTTTTCTTTTTTTTTTTTTTTCATAATATACATTTCAACGAAACTGTTCGATTATCGTAACACTACTGATTTTCATGATTTTTAAACTTGGAAAATTACAAAATTCTTTTAAGAGCTAATTTTTGTAAAGCATCGTATATAAAATTATAGTTTGATTAATTGTCTACTCAATGAAAATTCCATTTTATTTTACAAGACAAGGTAAAAAGTGAAAACTTACTGAATAATTTGTTATTTCAAAATAGCTTTAATTATAATTGGAAGGTTTATTTAATGTCTAACGTAATACCGTGATTATTTACTATTTTATAAGAACTGATTTTAACTTGGAAGATAAAAAATTTTATCTACACTGTGAGGTCGGATTAGTTAAGTTTTATTACAATTAATTAATATGCTTCAATTTCTACTCACTGATTAATCATTTATTTGCTCTATTTATTTTTATTCATATGTGTTAAAGCGATGAGAGATAATAGCCCAGCCGTCGCATCATAATAGTTGTAGAAGTTTTTCTACCAACAATTTAGATACTATTTCCTATTAAAAACTATGATAGTTTGATATTTTGATGTACTACGATAACCTTGATGAGTTTTCTACACGCGGTTATCGAATTTTTCACTTTCCTGTATATTTATGCACGTTTGCGATAAACATATAATACTCAACTAACTAAAAACTTACGTCATGAGTATTGTTACATATGTAATTTTTTTTTTTTTTTTTTTTCGTCTTTATTGCTTCTTCTTCTCGTGAAAATCTGAAACATTTGTAATATTTGAAATAACAATATTGACTTTTAAGGCTATTAGTTTTATTACTATTACAATGATTACATTGATACATCGCGGCGTATATCGTTTTGATATTTTTTTTTTTTCTTTTTTTATATTTTTTGGATTTACTAACACGATTATTAACATAAAATTATTATACATTTTTTAATATCAGATTGTAAACAAATTTAAATAAAAATCGATTAAATCCAAAGAAATATAAGCTGTTGGTGCGGTGTTGATGCTGAATTTCAAAGGCAAAAGCTAAGTAACGACGTTTGTAAATAGACTTTGTAAAGGGCTCTTGGCATAAGCGATAAGCAAGTTCATTGCATTACAAAAAAAAAAAAAAAAAAAAAAAAAAAAAAAAAAAAAAAAAAAAAAAAAAAACCCCTTACGATGTAGCATATATTACTTTCAAGCCGCTATTCGCTCTTTCATTCCTCTTAAATACTTAGGCAAAAACGAGACAAACGACTCGTCAAACGTTATAATAAAAAACAAAATAAAAGCAAAAAAATTTCGCTGCACGGTGCGATTAGGTATGAAGTGGCGTAACATTTAAAGCCTATATGTTAAATAACAAATTTCAGCAACATAAACATCGAGCGATGCACTTAAGCGATCTAATCAAATCATTCAACCGTAAGAAGCAAATAGACATGCCAGGAGATACGCCTTTGTCGCGATGCCTCTCGACTCTGGACCTCACGTCCCTCGGGATTGGCTCGACGCTCGGCGTCGGCGTCTACGTGCTCGCCGGCTCCGTCGCTAAAACCATCGCCGGCCCCGCCGTCATCATCTCATTTTTGATCGCCGCGATAGCCTCGTTATTCGCAGGTATACGATTATTGTAATTATTATCTTGAGATTTTCTCTTTATGTCTTTCGATGCAAATCTTTATTTTACCACTTGAAAAGTGGTTTTTTCGAAAGCTTAATTTCGATTCATTATTCAATAAATAATAAAATGGCGAGCGAGTTTGCAGTGACGAGCAGGATGGGGGATAGACTTGTTATGCTTATGAAAAATAAAAATATATTTAATGTTTATATTTTAAAGGATTAATTCATACATGAATATTTAATTAAATATTAATCTATGCTATTGATTGGTAATTGGGTCAAAAGTGTATAAAAAGAAATGTTTATAAGATGGTGAATATTAAAGTGGTGCACTACAAAATACTAAGTGAGAGCTATTTTCATTCGAGTATCTGGGAAAGTCGGCTTTTACATGTGCTTAAAAATAGATTTCTTTACGTTGAAAACTTTTCTTCTTTTAAATTTTATTTTAATTCAATGCGTGCGTGCGTGCGTGCGTGCGTGCGTGCGTGTACATACACATTCATATAGACGTGTACATATAATTTCTTGAAAGAAGTATTTTATTTTAATTATAATTGCTTTTTACGTGTTAAACGCTCTTATTTAAATGTCAATAATGAAAAATATATAAATATTGAATATAAATGTAAATATTACCCTATAAGCATTCATAGTAAAGCCGCGATGTAAATTTGCACAATTTAGACAGAAACGGGGCATTGAAACGAGCGATAAAAAGCCCCGCGACTCGCATTGTTGCGCAGCCCAGATCGTCAAATTTCACGTGAAAGCTATTTATTTCTATTTTTCAGGCTTATGTTATGCGGAATTTGGCGCTCGAGTTCCGAGGGCCGGTTCGGCTTACATCTACAGCTACGTGACAATAGGGGAGTTCGTAGCCTTCCTCATCGGCTGGACGCTCATACTTGAGTACGTCATCGGCTCGGCGAGCGTCGTCCGCGGCCTCAGCACTTACGTCGACGCGCTCTTCAACAACTCCATGAGGAACGCCTTCGAGTCCGCTGCCCCGATCGACGTCTCCTATTTATCCTCCTATCCGGACTTCTTCGCCTTCGGCGTTACACTCCTATTTTCCGGTTAGTGCTCGATAACCATACTTTTCGGATACCTTGGACAGAGTCCCGTAAGTACCGTTGGTGTTTCGATTCCGATGGATTTTGAGGGACGATTCCCCATCTACTCGACCATCCGTGTGATACGTCGCTGATTCTCGTTGACCCTCGCTGAAGCTCGTAAACACTGGTTTTGGAGATGCCGATTTGATTAAGGAGCGAGCTTTTAGAGACTTTTCAAGACTACTTGCTCTTAAAACTACTTAAATTTATGCATCCATCGACACATTTTTCCCTTTGTTTACGATCTTTTTTGGTTAAAAAGTAAAAAATTTTAGCGCCCATCGCGAATTATACTTTTAGAAGAATCGATCTATACTATTCAAATTTTTACGCGTATGAGCTTTAAATTGCCAGACGCGCGAGTACTTTTTGTTTCTTTTATTTTTGTTTAACGACTCGAAGGATCGGTTGACTATATTGTTAAAGTAATTACATGAATTTAAATGACTATATACTGCGAGTCATGAAATATAAAAATAAATACGTACGTACATATTCAACGAACGCACCTGTGTATTGGACTTTTATGTATTTAACATTAATCGAAGGAATCAGATTTCCACGTCTTCTGAAACGTTTTAATAGTTCTGTTAGTCTGAAGAAATAAATCAATATCCTCGTATATGTATATATTTTGCTTTTGCACACGAATCACATTTATTCCCTATAAATTACATTCTGAAATTGTTTTCGCTTGTTTCAGCTGCTCTAGCGTTAGGAGCCAAAGAATCATCAGTAGCAAATAGTCTTTTTACATTAACGAATCTTTCTGTTGTTTTGTTCGTCATCACGGCGGGAGCTTTTAGATGTAAGTTAATTTTGACAAAGTCTCTGTACGATTAGAACTAAGCATTACAATTGTATAATTAATCTAATAAGATATCGATATGAAATGCGCTGAGAAATGACTAATCAATTGCCATTTCGTAAGCATTAAATTTGTCCAATCTATTGACAATTAAAAACCATGGCATGGTTTAACAATTAGCACATGAAAATCTAATGATCACTCATAAAATATAGACGAACGAAATGTAATGTAAAGTACTGTATTAAAGCTGATATGAAGAATTGGAATCTCCAGCCCAATTGCACGGATAATAATTGTCCTTATGGGACCGGAGGGTTCATGCCCTACGGTATATCCGGCGTATTTACCGGCGCAGCTACGTGTTTCTATGGATTCATTGGTTTTGATTGTATTGCGACAACAGCCGAAGAGGCCAAAAATCCACAAAAAAGTATTCCCATGGCAATTTTAATATCGCTTACAGTAGTATTTTTCGCTTACTTTGGAGTGTCCGCAATTGTAACGACCGTCTTACCGTATTATGAGCAAAATTCTGACGCACCTTTTCCGTACATGTTCGATCGTATAGGATGGAATTGGGCTCGATATCTTATTACCGTTGGAGCTATCTGTGGATTATGCTCGAGGTTTAACACGATTTTCAATTCTAACGAATATTTTTTGTTACATTTCATCAATATTTTATTTCAAAACTTCTCGGCCTATTAATTATTTACCCGCGCTAATTTTCAGTTTGTTAGGCGCACTCTTTC